AAAGGTCTTGGAGAGAATATGGATACAAGGAACATAACTAAACATAATAAAGGCAATATACAGCAAGCCAACATAAAACTAAATAGAGAGAAACTCAATGCGATCCTTCTTAAATCAGTAACAAGAAAAGTCTGTCCACTCCTGCCTCAAATGATGTGATAGACTTTGATGATCCCCCATGGGAGGCCTCACCCTCCCTGAGGCGTGGAGGGGGGTAAAATAGGAGTGGGTGGGGGGCATGGAAGGACGGGAGGGAGAGGGAAACTAAGATTGCTTTTAATTCAAATAAAAAATAATTAAAACAAAAAACCTTTTGTAATTCTCAGTTTAGTATAACGGTGCTTTAGAAAATTGCTTCCCAAGTGTGTCCTCAAAAGAGTAGAATTTGGCAGTTTTACAGAAATTTTATTAAATTGGTCATCTCTTGTCTGTCTGTCTGTCTGTCTGTCTGTCTGTCTGTCTGTCTATCGATCTATCATAAACTGAGTAGATCTAGCTTTGTGTACAAATTAAATATAACTGCTAAGTTGGGGCTAGATTCTCCAGGAGAGAAATCCAAATCAACCTGTTATTGTTCATTCAATTGCCAATTGGATCAATCCACTGTCACTCTGGCTCTGGATCTGAGGTTCTGTCCAATCAGAGGCATTAGTGCGAGGCTTGCCCAATCAGGAGCAAAGACACAGTGTGATGGACTCATTATTGTCTCAGACCAGCCATCTTGGGACCTGTCGCCGGGTGCCGTCCCCTTTCAGAGGGCCCCTCCTGGACACTTTGTGCTCCTCTGTGGTCCGGTGCCTCGGTGGTGTGGGGTGAGCCATAGTGAGGACTTGGGATGCCCGGGAAGCTGGAGATGGTGAGTGAGGCGCGTGCTAGCCGGAGAGCAGCTGTGCACTCTGTCGCCTGTCGCTGTGGGGTTGGGGCTGGATCGGCTCCTGTCGGTTCCCTGCTCCTGGAGTTGAGTCCTGCTGCAATCCTCCCTGCGAGCTCTGCCCTGGAATGTGTGGCGGCCGAGTCGGGAAAGCAGCTGTAACGGGTCGGCCAGCGCCACTGTACCGGCCAGGAACGCGGTGGGACGACCTGTCGGTGGAGCCAGGCGGGAGTCTGGGGCCCGGGTCCCACCCGGGGACCTCCCCAGAGCTGCCGCAAAGCCCGGACTGCTTTGTCTCCACTGGGTGCTCAGATCCCTGCGTCCCTAGACAACAACCATTGCAGCAGCATCGGGCGGCGGATTCCTTTCCCCTACAGCATCTAAGGGACTGTTATCATCTCAGCGGTTACAGTTACCCGGCTCTCCACCTCCTAGAACTCCACCCGTGTTCTGGTCCTTTCCCTGACCCCCCACTACCCGCCGCTGTAGCTTTGCCTCTGCCTGGGTTTATGTCTCTGACTGTCCTTTTGGATCTGCTTGATTTCTCATCTTTGAGCTGCTGTGACTGTTTCTCTGACAGTTTGAATATAGTCCTGTATGTCACTTACCCCGCTAGCTCGGTTGTCTGGGCCATCTTTCCCTGGGTCTCTCACCACCTCTTCTGCAGGACGCATTTCCTTTGAAAAACTGGGTTACTAAGACAAGGTTTGGAATCCAGGTGACAGCGTTCTTACTGCTTGATGCAGATCTTATCCTCTATCAGCTACTCTGTGTGTGTGTGTGTGTGTGTGTGTGTGTGTGTGTGTGTGTGTGGGTGGGTGGGTGTGGGTGTGGGTGTGTCTTTGTTTGTGCGCGCGCACGTGCCCGCGTGTGTTACTGAGTGAGGCTCAACCTTGGGATTGTTAGGCAAGCGATTTGCTAAGAACCACCTTCCCAGTATCGTTTTGTTTGCTGGGGTTTTTTTGTTTGTTTTTGTTTTTGTTTTTTTTTCCGAGACAGTATCTTACAGGGAGCCCAGAATGATCTTGAACTTGGACCCCCCAGCATTGGTCTCCAGAGGTGTTGAGATCAAAGTCTGGAGCCCTCAGGATTGTGTCCTTTTTTTGTGGAGATAAACAATGGAGCCCAGTTCAAAATTGGCATTTTTCAGGTCTCCAGGTACTGATTCTCCTCCCCAGTCCCCAACTGCACGCTGGTCTCCTGAACATATGTCCAGGGCAGATCTGGGGCCAATTGGAGATGCACAGAAGCCATGGATGGGTCTGTTCTTTAGGATCCCTGGACCTTGCCAAGAGCCCTCTGCATTCAAGGTGATGCCTGAGGAATCCCAGATGATGTAGCAAAAGATAGGTGTGGACAAGGGCAGAGATGGTGACCCTCTTCCACCCCGCAAAAAAAGCGAAAAGCACTGATAGATTTGTTGGCTATTATTAGAGCCCCAGGACCAAATACTGGGAGGTGAGGTGGCGTTCTTCAGTTCTCTTTCTTCTCAGACCTGGGCGGTCATGACAGTGGTGAGCAGATGCTGTTGGTGGGGAATATGACTCAGAAGCACAGAACTGTGGATTCTAGAACAGGCACGTCCCTCTAGTCTGGAAAAGGCCCCTGCTGAGGTCTTGAGTCCTGGTGTGCCAGTCTCAGGAGGCAGATGGAAAAGAGACAAGAGGCTAGCTAAGAAAAAGAGAGGAACTGCACTCAAAACCTGATGAGGGTCCACACAGCTTCTCCATTTGGGTGTTCCTATATGTTTGCAAAGGCATTCCTACAGCCCTTTCCCTTCCCCTTTTGATTATATTCTTCAAACAGGCTCTCTGTAGACAAGCAGAGTCTGGAACTCTTTATGGAACTCAGGCTAACCTCAAGCTAGAAGCAATCCTCCCCCGTCTTCCAATCACAGGGATTCATACACATTCACCAGCAGCCCACGGGTCCCTGTTCCTCTGCATCCCCTCCCTCATCTCTGTGTGTCTGTCTCCTTGGTGGCTTATCTCTGAGTGAGTGAGGAGCCCTTGCTAGGGACTGCACATGTGTCAAGTGGATACAGGATGTCAGGAACTCTCCGCAGAGCCCCGACCCTCCTCCTTTGACCCCATTCAGTACAGTCTTGAAGTGAAACAAAGGAGGGACCTATATGTGGGGTTCCAAACCTGACTTCAAGCCAGGAGTGGTTGTGCAGGTTGCAATTCTTGATACCTGGAAGGGTGAAGCAGGAGGAACTAGCAGAAGTTTGAGACCATTGTGTACTACTGACAACTCATGCGTTATGTCAGAAAACAAGTCTGCGGCAGCACAGCGCGGTGGCGGAGTACTCACCTGGCATTTGCAGGACTCTGCCCCCTGTTCCCAATGACCTTGTTTCTGTAGAACCCCAGAGAGGCCGGTGTCCTGGAGGATCACAGTGTTCCTCTGGACAGTGGGACACTGTCACCCCTGCCTGGCATTGTGCTGGCACCCAGCCAGGCAAGAATAAGACTGCCTCTGAGCGGTGAGGAGCACATCTCAGCAGACCTCTGATGTGGCCCTGGAACCAAGAGGTGGCGTGGTACTGGGAGATCTGTCCATTGCACAATGGACAGCCAAAGCTGGGGACAAAGCTGAGGGGGTGCACTGTGTGCACACTGATAGTAGCTGGGCCCTCACAGGCTAGGAGAAGGTTCTCTGCAGTAGGCCCAGGGAAGCTCCAGGTGGCTGTGACAGTTCCGATGGACCTGTCTCTGAAGATGGATAAGGAACAAAAGGGTCTGGGCCAGGAGTGGTACTTGTGGGACGAAGAGTGGTCTGAGTGATGCAGGGAAGACAGGCCCATCATGTAATGTGAGACCTCAGGATGTCATATATAAGTAGGACACTATCTTATATGTGTTATATATGTGTTAAGCTGGGCTTCTCTGGTGGTTTGAATGAGAATGGCTCCCATAGGCTCATAATGTTTGAATGCTGGTTTCCTACTTGGGACACTGTTTAGCAAGGATCAGGAGGTATGGCCACCTTGGAAGAGGTGTGATCTTGGAGAAGATGTGCCACTATGTGAGGCCTTTGATGTTTCAAAAGCCCACACCAGGACCCATCTGGCTCTTTCTGACTCCTTCTATGGGTCAGATGTGAGCTCTCAGCTACTGCTTCAGAGAGCCACGCCTGCCGCCACTGTGCTCCCCACCATGATGGCCGTGGACTCACCCTCCAAAACTGTTGAGCCCTCAACCTAATGCCTTCTTTTATAAGTTGCCTTAGCCATGGTCTCTTCACAGCCATAGAACAGTGACTGAGACAACAAGAAGTGTACCCCTGTAATCCCAGCACTTGGGAGGCAGGAGGATTGTGAGTGTTTAGGGCCAGTCTGAGCTACAGGGTAAGACCTGTAAGCTACAGGGTAAGATATTCTCCAAAGAAATACCCAAAGCCCAATTGTTTGGACCTGAACTCCAGTGTAGCATTCCCAGCTCTGCAGTCTTGCTTAGTGGTTTATTCCCTCTCAATGGGTTTTCCTCTCCTATAAAATGGGGCCAAATCCATGTTTCATGGGGGCTGATGTAAGGGTCAGACTTGGTTCCACCCTGTCAGCACAGGTCTGGCAGAGCAAACTCTCTGTGGCACAGTTCTGTAAGTCTACTGTAAGCATTGTAGTAGCTGGGATGGAAAGGTTTTCTGGCACTTGGGAGCCACAGAATACTGAGTGTTAGAGCTTGGACAGAAAGGTATTCTGGCACTCACGAGCCAAGGAATATCACAGGTCACAGTAAGGGAAAGGTTTCCCCAGTGTAATAGCTCTGCTCCAGTTTGGCTCAGGTCTGGCTCAGGTCCCCAGAGTGTAACTTCTCCACTTCCCTGGGGAAGGTTCCCCCTATGATACAGCCCTGCTCTGCTCGCTCCACTCTGCTCTGCTCTGCTCTGGTGAAAAGTTGTTATTACATCGAAGGAAGGTCTCACCCAAACCTCATTCAAGAGATTTATTGAGAGGGAAGAATCCAGGAGAGTGGCAGAGGACAGCCAGACAGCCAGACAGCCACAAGCTGAACAGACACAGGGTTTATATAGAGATTCTTAGGGGCAGTTTTTCCAGGGAGATTTCCAGGGTGGGGATTAGTCAGATTTCAATCCCTGAGCTCAGATTGGCTAGATCTCCTGCTCAGGGATTGGTTGGTTTTCTGAACAGGTTCAGTTTCAGATTTGGCTCTGATTTCAGGGCCCAAGTGTGTTTCTTTCACTGGTTCTTTTTAGCCTTTTGGCTCTAATTTTAGGGCCAGGGTGTATTTTTTTTCCCCCACTGGCTCTGATTCCAGGGACAAAGTGTATGTCTTTGGCACTGGTTTCAGTGTCAGGGTTCATTTCTTTGGTTCTGGTTGCAGGGCCAAAGTGTATTTCTCTGGCTCTGCTCAGGGTATGTTTCTTTGGCTGGCCCTTTTCCCCTACGCCTACCCCATTGGGAATCACAGGCAGGAGGAACAGGAGTTTGAAACCAGTTAAAAGGTACATAGGAGCCTGGTGGCTGTGCACGCCTTTAATCCCAGCACTTGGGAGGCAGAGGCAGGCAGATCTCTGTGAGTTTGAGGATAGCCAGAGATACACAGAGAAACCTGTCTCGAAACTTCCCCCCTACCCCAAATTACATAGGAAATCTTGTCAGAGGGAGGGGGAGAGGAGGGTTGTTGCTCAGGGACAGAATCCTTGCTTAGCATCTGCAAGACCATCATGGGATCTACTACAGTCACACAAGTAACCCTTCTCAAAAATCCCAAAAACCCTGACTCTGTTGGATAAAAAAGACAGGAAGGATTTTTTGGAATGTGGAAAGTATTATTTTAAATGAGTACTCGTAACTATACAGTTCTGGTTACCTGCCACAGAGAGGGCCACTCCATTCTCCTTCAAGAAAGGATTTGTGGCCCACATGCTAGGGGTGTGGTTCAATGACAAAGTCCAATAGCAGCTGTTCAAAATCCCTTGAACTGGAAGCTGAAGACCTGTCAGGCTGTAACTGTCCCATC